TTTGTCTCTTAACTGATGCTATGTAAAAGGTCTCTAGTTAAGGTTGATATAGCAAATAGTTAGGGACAACACATTATCCCCAACAAACACCCTTCTAACTCACCCCAGCAGCAGCCAGCCAGCCAGGTGTACTGACTGCCTGCACCTCCACCCACACCATTTCCCAACCTCTCTGCCCCCCCTGCACCTCCCCTGCACCCACACCACTTCCCAACCCTCTGCTCCCCCTCAACAATAGTCTAACATTCCCCACGGTAAATACTACCCCGAGAGAATTGTTCCCGAGCAATAATACACACACACATACACACACACGTGTACACCAATAAGCTACACTTTCTCCCCACACACACATGTGTACACATCAACACACACAGCCTACAACTTACACACACACACACACACACACACACACACACACACACACACACACACACACACACACACCAAGACGTGTTACGTACTTACTCACGCACGGGCGCACACATACTCACACATCTAGTACATGTACACACCGCGGAGCCGCCCCCACCACACACACACACACCCTCCCAGGTAACGTTCACCCCGAGGCGACTCTCAGGCTCCTCCACTGGTGAGTCAGGCGTCCTTCTCCCCGGCACCACAACTAATGTATCGCACTGGCTTACCTGAACAACACCTGATGCATCATCCGCACCTCCTGTACTACCCCTTCAGTGTGTCGTGCGTCTCTTTAGTGCGTCGTGCGTCTCTTTATTGCGTCGTTCGCCCCTCTTGCATCACATTTAGTGCGTCATCCGTCTCCCTCACTCATGTCTCCCACATCACAAATAATTCAAATGCGTCACGTGTACATGAACGGTTGTAGCCTTTCTGGTAACAATACAACCAATCACGCAACACGTAACATCTGTCTCGCTCATTAAACAACCAATCACGTCCCGAGGCAACATGTCTCATTCAAAAACAGCCAATCACGTTCCCAGGTAACATCTGTCTCATTCAATAACAGATACTGTACACGTATACGGTATGCAACTAGCAATGAAAAGGCTTCCATTAAAACCGAACAAGGCTTTATGCACCTGGATACACTGAACGTTAAACCAGAAGTACTAACAGCAACTCCATATCCCCACCGGCTTCTCGTAAAATCCTAATTAGTTTAACCCCTTGTGTACGGGTTCCCCCTCTGAGCAGAATAAAATCGTGTGCCGTGGACCCCCAAAAATATTAAAAGTGGCGTCCCTGTAGGAGTTTTGCCTGTCATATCTCAACTACCTGCACCGGCTGAAACAGCGAGAGAAATATTGGAAGTTTAATGAAGAAAAATTAGATCCTTTGGTCATATAACTAGAGGAGAGGAAATAATGGCAGAGATATTAAAGGGTAAAATTGAAGGTAAGAGGGCCAGGGGAAGGTAAGAGGGCCAGGGGAAGGTAAGAGGGCCAGGGGAAGGTAAGAGGGACAGGGGAAGGTAAGAGGGCCAGGGGAAGGTAAGAGGGCCAGGGGAATCAGGGGAAGGTAAGAGGGCCAGGGGAAGGTAAGAGGATCAGGGGAAGGAAAGAGGATCAGGGGAAGGTAAGAGGATCAGGGGAAGGAAAGAGGATCAGGGGAAGGAAAGAGGATCAGGGGAAGGAAAGAGGATCAGGGGAAGGTAAGAGGATCAGGGGGAGATAGTCCAGATACAAAACTTTGGAGGTTTGGTAAAGACGACCCGAAAATGTTTGGAGTTGTGGCTCGTGGTCGCCGACACCTCACACCTGCGCTGATTAATGTCGACATGTCTGTGATATGTGATGCCAAGCCCTCGTATAAGACGCACCCTCTTAAATGTTCAGACACAAAAAAAGAAAAACTTCCCACAAAGACAATATACCAAGAGATTCCTTAATTGGGCACCAAAGGCATAATCCCAGAGTTGTGAACAAAAACACAAGCCAAATTACAACTAAAGACAAAAAACAACAATTACAATCAACGGTACAAGTAAACAACTAATAGTAAAATCACCACAGCGACTTTTAAACGACGCAAACCCCTCCCTCTGTCACCCCCCCCACACACACAGACATACATATAGCAATAAAAAAAAAAACATACCACAAACACAACAAGGCAGGGGCGCCGTACATGGGCATTTACCTGAGAGTTAAATAGGTAGGTAGGTAGGTGAGTGGTCCCCCTCCCTGCATACGTCAACACCCAACATTCCTCGCTCCTTACACACCACTCTTTCTCTCTTAAAGGATAGACTCACCTCCCCCAGAAAAAAGTCGTCATTTTCCCACGCAACAACTCCTGGTATCTCCTCTTAGCCCTCCCACCTCCGTCTCTCAACCCCCCTCCCTCCCTCCGTCTCTCAACCCCCCCTCCCTCCCTCCGTCTCTCACCACTGGCCATATTAGCTAGATCTACGTCATTCTCAAGGGTTGCCTCGTCTCACAGGTGATTTTAAGTGTGACTGACTGACTCACTCACTCACTCACTCAGGTACCTACACTTACACGTACTTGACTTATATGTGTTCACACGCTCCTACACACTATAAGTCATGCACCCACACACACTTACCAACTTAAGTATATGCATACATACATACATATACTCCTTAGCTTACTCACACCCAAAACAATTATTCAGTAGAAACACACACACACACACACACACACACACACACACACACAGTACCGACAAACTTTAAGAGGTGAAAATGTCTCAACTTCTAAAGAGACGATTATTTACATAAGCTTAATAGCGACTAACTAAAAGATCACACAGCCGAGAGAGAGAGAGAGAGAGAGAGGTAGTCGATGAGTGTGTTGAGTGGTGATGGAGAGTGCGTCGTGAGTGTGTTGAGTGTGAGGAAGTGAGTGTGTTGAGTGGTGAGAGAGAGTGCGTCGTGAGGTGTGTTGAGTGGTGATGGAGAGAGTGCGTCGTGAGTGTGTTGAGTGGTGAGGGAGAGAGTGCGTCGTGAGTGTGTGGAAGGGTGGTGGTGCGTCATGATGCTGATCGGGAGTGTGTATCGTACAGGTGACCGTGGGAGCTGGTGGTGGTCTGGTGAGTCGTAGCTAAATACTGTCGTCGTACTAGTAGGTGCGTCGTACAGGTGACCTTGAGGTGGTGCGTCATGTCAAGCTGGAGTGTGCGTGTGTGTGCGTGCGTTGTCGTGACTACCATCCACAACGCAGTCGGCCATCATCATGGTGCTACTATTTGTTGACACACCTTAACTACCAGTGTTAAGGGAGGGGATCTCTCAGAACAACAACAATAACTCAATGACATTTATTTACTAGAACACGTCTGGTCATCAAGATTTACTTTTTATTACATATATTTTTTTCTCGATATAATACAATACTCAAGTCTTTCTGTCAGTCTATATGTTTATCACCCCCCGACACACACACAATATCTGCCGCTATGTTGACAACAAAACTCCAGGACGCAGGATAAGTTATACTTTTTGGACGTGAAAGATAAGTGTGTGACGGCAAGAAGTGTGTGGTGTGTGTGTCGTCACCGTCATGCGAGTCTCCAGGCGTCAAGGATGAAACAGAAAACAACCAGGAAGACGAATAGACTTTAGGGAGTTGATGTTATATACTGTAGTATATATATATATACGGTATATAAGCAGCTGGTGTTATATATGCCGTCTATATAAGAGGCTCATGTTATATAGCCAAAGGTGTGAGAGGAACCGAGTGCCGAGGATCAGCTATGACGGCAGTGGTAATACCTCCGAGACCTTACCCAGCCATCACAGCAGTCACGTAGGGGAGGTGCGCGTGTGTCACTGAGCCCTGCCCTGTCACCTCACCTGCTACCATAGTAACAAGATTCGTCCTTATTAGCTCCGGACCTCCCTCCCCGCTACCACAGACCCCCTGCAGGGTAGTTGTGAGGGCTGGGGTTTTAGTTTAACAAATTTATTGACAAAGTTTGGAGTACAGTCTGCCTATTCTGAGTAATTCAGTCAGGTCTTGACACTGAGGGTGGTATCACTTCTCACTGCCACGCAAGACAGAGGTTCATATACAAACACACACATATACATACATATGCATACACATACCTACACATATATACATAGATCAGATTCATGTGGATAATGTCACTGTTCACTGCCACGCAGGACAGAGGTTCGTACACAAAGAAATACACCATATTAATTGACTGTATATATAGGTCAGATTCATGTGGGTGATGCCACTGGGGTGACGGGGCAGGGAGGACGAACACCCCCAGCCACCTTCCTCTCACCCCCGGGAGTGAGTGACCGACCTCTGCCTGTCAGCCACACCATCACGGGTCCCCCTCACGCTGCGAGTACTTCCCACACTAGCCACAGACCACGCTTCCTGTCTCTTACCACACACACACACACACACACACACACACGAGACTAAATACAGAAATAATGCATAAAGGATATATCACATTATACCGCCTCTCGGGGTGAAGACAAAGGTGAGACAGGACAAGAGACCTTTACCAACACAAGCACCGTTCCTCTCTCTCTCTCTCTCTCTCTCCCTGAGGTTGATGTGAATTATTTACTGACTAATAAATGTTTTCCACTGCAGTACTGTGTTTCCCTCCCTCAGGAATCACGATACATTATAAGTATACTGTACTCCCTTAGTGAGGATTGGTCGGATTCACAAAGGTTCACCCGAAAAATCTTCCTTGTCAATGAGGTTAAAAAAAGACACCTCTCTGTACATTAACTTAAGCTAAATAAACTAAAAAATTCCCCCCCCCCAATCTCATCCAAATTACAGATTCTTCAGTATAATTACATCTACTACAGGAAGTCGCAGTAGGGTTTTTATTATTTGTAGTGGGGGGGGGAGACATTAGCTTAAGATAAACATTTAAGTGTATTGATATTTTCACTTACGGGGCCGACAGACACACTCAGTACGGAACCAACCTGTGAACGTGTCCTATATCGCGGCATCGATCACGGCGGCACCTTTAATTAACTTGTAGCTACACCTCCCACTCACCTGTCGTCATGCACACGTCTCCCACCATCTATTCCCAGCACTGTTCTCACCTGGAAAGAAAAAAAAGAAGAAATATAAGTTTGTGAAAGTACGACGATTCCTTGGTCACACACACACACACACACACACACACACACACACACACACACACACACACACACACACACACACACACACACACACACACACACACACACACACACACACACACACAGGTGAAATTCAATAGCGTTGGGTAAAAGTGTTTAGGTGTTAAGTTAGTGCAGACGTCATCATTGTGTGGAAAAATTGAATCATGTGAAGACTAGACATACCAGCTTGTTTCACACGAAGATTAGCCACCCTAACTCTACCTGGGAGTTAGGTGAAGGTAGATTACGTTCAGGTAGAGAACGATAGGTTGGTTGGGATGAGGGGAGAGTTTAAGGGTGGGGGAGGGGAAGGCTGGGAAGAGGAGGAGGGAAGAGGGGAAGGGTGGGGGAGAGTAAGAAGGGTGGAAGAGAAGAAGGGGTGGGAGGAGAAGGAAGAGGAGGAGGGGAAGTAAAAGCTCTCCCCTCTCCCTAAACCCTCCGGAAATTTCCCCCCTGAGGACACCCGCCCTTCCGGACAGCTTCTCCCCCTTGAGCGACCGTCACCCCTGAGCGTCACGTGATTGGATTAAGCCAGGCAGCATCGGGTGACGCCACTCCATCCCGCCAAACCCGTCACTAATCCTTTATCTGGCGGAAATACGTCACACTCACCAACCCTCACGTCACGGGGCTTTATACCTCACTTAAAACACTCCTTCTTCTTGTTCCTTACCTGTCTAAAACAAACCTTCCCACGGGTCTAGAGTTACCTGGCGTGCGCTGACAAAACACTGATTAACGAGGCTATTGGGACCCACCTGATGATGAGACACCCCAGCATATTTCAGCTGAGGATTAACCTGAACTAACTGTGTAGGGGGGGGGGAGGCGGCAAGCATCCCACCATGGTCGAAATATGGTCATGGTGGTCCTGCCATGCTACTCCGCACCTCACTTCCTTCATAACTTTATTACCATCAAATACCTCTGCCATGACTCATTACCATGGTTTAATTTTTTCGCTGCTTCATTTTTTTGCAGTTTCATTTTGTCATGGTGTCATATTTTCGGTTTAATTTTTCGCTGTTTAATTTTTCATGGTTTAATTTTTCGCGGTTAAATTTTTTCGCTGTTTCATTTTTACAGGGCTTAATTTTTCGCTGCTTCATTTTTACGCGGTTTCATTTATTCGCTGCTTCATTTTTTGGCTGTTTCAACTTTTTGTGTCATATTTCGGTCTATGATATCACAACACTTAAATCTCACCTTTCTTCCACAGAGCCATTAAGTCCCTCGACGCTTCCCGTTATTCACTTGTTTCATCGCATCACCGAGAAAAACAAAACACGCTCAGAATTTTCCCCAGTTTTCCTCAGACGCTGGAAGACGATGGACGGTATACTGCAGCAGTTGGGTATGAGAGAGTTCTACAATAGACTCCCTTCCAGCTCACTGTTTCTCGGGACAATCTTCTTCAATGACGCCAGTGTTGTTTTGTTGTTGTCGTCGCGCCACAAGGTATATAAGATCATCCCACGTAATTACTTATCCATTTTTCAGGTCCTTCTCACGCGTTGGGAGGGAGTTCATCTGTCCTGTGTCCTAATATGAGTTCATGTTTTTCAGAACTTCACACCGAATTTCATTTGTTTTTTATGCTACTAGAAACCCAGATCAAATTTGCCTCTAGCTGGAACATATATTTTTTTGGTGTCTACAATGAGCGGGGTTCCAAACGGCTTCATTATAGCTTCCTAATTATGATTTGAAGGTGCAATTAGCGTTGGGTTGGGTTGGGGTAAGGATAGGTTAAGATAGGTTGGAATAGGTTAGGTTAGAATGGGATGGGTTGGTTTAAGTTAGGTTAGAATGGGATGGGTTGGTTTAAGTTAGGTTAGATTAGGTTGGGTAGGGTTAAGTTATGTTTGCTCTAGGGTGGTAAACGTTAAAAGCTGTGGGGGACGGAAGATAAAATACGAAAGTAAACCACATACAACAACAGCCAACACCGCCACCAGCTTGACATTATATCGTACCCCTGTCAAGCACCGCCACTCGCCTCACCATTATACCGTACACGCACAAGCACCCGACTTGTACACGAGACAAAACCCGACCAAACCTGACGAAGACGAATGTTGACAAAGTGCAGCGCTAACAATCCACACTCATGCCAAAAAGAGGGAGGCTGACACTATCTCTGTGCCAAGGTCATTCACAGTGGATGGAAATACTGCGGTAACTTATTTTCCCTCTTCATTTCATTCTTTTTCTCTCACGTCCTATGATTCGACTACTTGATAAAATGGGATCACGTGATGATTAGGCACCCTTAGTTTATGTTACCCGATGAGTAAACACCTGAACGCTACCTGTGAAGGGGGGGGGGGTAGGCTAGGTTAGGTACAGGGTGAGGAAGTTACAGAGTGAGGGAGAGGCAGAGTGAGGGAGAGGCAGGGTGAGGGAGAGGCAGGGTGAGGGAGGTACAGGGTGAGGGAGAGGCAGGGTGAGGGAGAAACACAGAATAAGGAGGAAGGTGAAGGGGGTATTAGAAGACCCGAAGTGGCAGGTTAAGTGAGGCTTAGAACACAAGAGTTACCCAGAGGTCGAGGAGTGAGTGGGAGCAGTATGAGAGGGAGGGAGGGAGCAGTGTGAGAGGGAGGAAGGAAGCAGTATGAGAGGGAGGAAGGAAGCAGTGTGGAGAGGAAGGGAGGAAGGAGTATGAGAGGAAGTGAGAAAGCAGGAGGAGGAGGAGGGAGAGAAGCAGTATGAGGAGGGAGGGAGCAGTATGAGAGGGAGGGAGGAAGCAGTATGAGAGGGAGGGAGGAAGAGCATGAGAGGGAGGAAGGGAGCAGTATGAAAGGGAGGGAGGAAGCAGGAGGAGAGGGAGGGAGGAAGCAGGAGGAGAGGGAGCTATCTGGTGGCCGCATTCCTCTGAGGACACAAGGACTGCCACTGCCTCCTACCTGCTTGTGTTCCTCTGCTCCCCGACCTGCTTTGTCCTGCACCGCTGATGGGTCAATCCTATTATTGCGGCCTGACTTGCCCTGCACTTAGTAGACTGGCCACACAAATAAAGAAACATCCCCACCACTTGGCCACACACACACAGTGCCATATTACACAATCCCAAGTACTGAATGAACTCAACCTTCCTAACCACCACCTGGCCACACACAAGCAAGGGCAGCAGTGAAGGGGAGGGAGGAGAGAGAGGGGGTCCGGGGTGGGGTGCGGGGGGGGGGGATGAATCAACCTTATACGATCGTTTAATGGAATGTAAAGTGTTGGAGGATTTGTGGCAGCTTTATGTCAACACAATACTGTATCAGGCCTTTCTGACCTTATTGATAGAAGGGAGGAGAGAGGGGGTCCGGGGTGGGGTGCGGGGGGGGGGGATGAATCAACCTTATACGATCGTTTAATGGAATGTAAAGTGTTGGAGGATTTGTGGCAGCTTTATGTCAACACAATACTGTATCAGGCCTTTCTGACCTTATTGATAGATCTGTTTTCCCGTGGGGGGTGAGGGAGGTGTTTGGTTGTCCGTGTGTACAGACTCTTATCGTAGCCAATCGACTGAATATTGTCAGGTATTTATTTTTAAAAAGTTCTTCGGTGACATGTATATGAACGGTGGAAGCTGAGATGTTGTAATAAAGTTAATAAGCAGTAGCAGCAGCATAACTTTGCCTCAGGGGAACGAAATCGTCGGCCCCAAAGCCGACAAGTCGCAGATATTGACTATGAGGCAAGAGTCACTGAATGCCGCATAGCTGTGTGGCTTAACTAACTAGGGTAGCTACTTTTGAATTAAGATATTTAATTTTAAGGCAATAAAATGGCGACGAAGGTGCGGCTATTGGGAGAAGCAGGAGGCCTTCTTAAAAAAGGTAGTACTGTGGTGGTAGCGGCGACGGAGGCGGTGGTGGAAGAGGCTGTGGCAGGAACAGACCAGATAATCAAGATGCTAATACGACATGGGGGAGAACCGGTCAACTGTACCGTAACACAGCCTGGCACTCCCTCCCTCACCACCCACCCACCCACCCACCATCCCTCACCAACCCACCCACCCTCACCACCCACACAATTCCTTCCTTCATCCCTACCATCCACACACCCACTCCTAACACCTACCTACACAACATCCTCCCCTACTTCATCAACCACCGATCCACCCAACCTCCCCCCACACACACACACACAACCCTGCCCCCCCCACACACACACACACACACACACACACACACACACACCCTTCCCATCCTATAAAAAAAAATTCTACCCTTCCCTTCCTACCCATCGAGGTCATCAAGCAGAGTTACCTGGGGGCATCATACCTGGCGTGGTAATGAACATACCTCACATAGCAAGGTGTATGTGTTGTTCCTCGGGCCCTGTGCACCTGGACTTAAGTGACTCGTGAGACAGACAAAGAGAAATCAAGAGATAAATAGACTTAATGAAGAGACCGTGACAGATGATTGGGAGAGACGAATAGATAAAACAGGTGGATAGATAAGACAGGTGGATAGATAAGACAGGTGGATAGATGGAGATGGATGGATATAGATTATAAGGTAAATAGACTGGGAGACAGAATAGACAGTGATAGACGGATAGAAAGAGATAGACACGTGAGATGGTTAGACAAAGGTGGATAGACAGTCTGACAGGTATATAGAACGTATTATATATACTACTTGTATTTCACCAGTGTGTGTGTGTGTGTGTGTGTGTGTGTGTGTGTGTGTGTGTGTCATGAGTCAAAACAAACAAACAAACAGCGTCCCTCGAGTAAGTCAGTGCCCCCCCCCCCACCTATGATTTCTGTTATCAAAGGAGATAATGTCATTAGAGGAACATGACTGATGGCCCGGGATGAGCACCTCTAATACCCGGAGAGTGGCGGCCAACGTGAGCATTAGACTCCAGCAGGTTTATACAATACAGGCGTGAGGTGGAGGGCTCTCTCT